AGAAATGCTACAGTACGCAAAAACGATTATCAGGTTTAATAGCAACAGTTAATTTTTTCTCAATTTTTTTAAAAAATTGCCAAAATGTCACATTACTGTTTACAATATAATGGATGAGCATCATTTCAGCCGGTAGCCCTCACATAATGGTGGCGATAAAACTGAGTCTTTCTCAATTTTTAGAATAAAGAAACTCGTTACACAGCATTATTGAGGACTGTGAGTACTGACTACAATACCAAGTCTAAACCATTTTATCTATGCGTGAAATGAAGCATAATCTATTTTAAATGACAATATTTCATTTGATGAGTCTGTAGTAATGGTTAAGGACTTCGCGGAAAAACGTATCATGCACACGAGAAAACAATAACAGGAGTCGCAACAAAGGAAGTATTAATCACAAGCGTGGAAATGGATTCAGTAGCCGTATGTGTAAACATTGTTTGGACCTTCAAATAGATTGAAGAGTCAGTCACAAATTATGTTGTGTGAAGAGTCGTTAGAGCTGCGGCATTAAATGGGAGTTGGACATCTCGCACGGTAAACAAAGGACGGTGACATGGTGATGATCGTCTCGATCTGGACGATAAGTACCGTGATGATGTCTTCGCAGCAATGTCTTTTGTGTGTAAGACTCGCGCAATTAGTAAGTAGCAAGCAAATGAAAGCCGCTTCAGTAACGAGATGGATGCCGCAACGCGGTTCGTAGAGAAGAGATATCGCAGAACTGAAAAGCCTGACTTTGCTAAGCAGAAAAAAATGGTATCAAAACAACAAGTGAAACAACAAAACCTTACCTACCATAGACACCAACCAATTTTGTAGAAAGAGAAAGTGTTTTCTTGGTATAAGCATTAAACATCGACGTTCTTTGATGATTCTTGATTTATGATAAATGTACAGGGTTGGAAATATTATAAGATAACATAACGTTGAAGGGGTTGAAAAAACAATGTATCTCATTCGGTGCTTCATTGCCTTGCATATGCGCGAAAACGCACTATCAGATCGACAGATAAACTGCACAGCGAGGCTGTATCACGTTCATTAATCAGTTGTCACTGCAAGTCAAATTATAGATTGTTAACAACCTATTTAAAATTTTTCTATGCTATCAACGTAGACGCATCCAAATTTAAAAAATGACTCCTGAATTCATCTCTTCAGATCACTTTGATAACCGTTCAAGCAACGTTGATCCACGTTTATGTGAAATTAATGGAGCAGAGAACATCATTACTGCAATCACACATCAGTCAAACCTGCTTGAACATGCTTACATAGAACAAGAGAAAATTTTCGATTCGCAAGACAGTTAGTGCACTACACAAAAAGTAACATAAAGCACAAACAAAATGAACGTGAAAGATCATTCGATCCTAAAATAATCACCCAAACCGCACATTCTAGTCTAATCTTCTTTCACGATCGATGAAGAAAGGTAAAAAAAATTTGCAACCTTGTGAATGTCGGTATTTTTTACACTTACAGGATGCTGCCAATTCTGCAAAGTTTCTGTTCTCCTGTTTTTTTTTTCAAACTCATTCACCAACGTCAGAAGGAAGAAAGGTGAGCTACCCGGACTGGGGATCAGACCCACTATCTCCAGGTTCTGAGTCTGACGTTCTAACGAACGAATCACCACGGTCTGAAGCAATGTGTCCTTCTTGTTGAAGAGAATTATGACGAAGATAAAGATTACCTGCGGGAATCGAACTTAGTACCTTGGTAGTTCGTTTTCGAAGCCGATCTGCGAAAGACAGACATTCGAAATCATTTGTTGTGAAATCTACATCGAATGTACGTTGTCTTTAAACATAGAGTTGGTGAAAAGTATCAATATTCCGCCAAATAAAATATTCCGCCTACCAAATTCTGACATCGGATTTACTGTACATTATCGCACCGACCCTTGCTTCTAGTCTAGTATGGAGACCGTTTAAGCAGTCCCAAGTTAGACGGCAATTGATCACCTACAACAAACTTGATGCACTGAGTGTGCTGAACAAGGGCGGGCAAAAAAATTTACAGAAATCCAGCGTCGAATTATAGGTCGGGTGATCGAATTTCGGCCACTCCGTAGTATCCTTAGATCACTATCAATAATACCTGGCTCTAAAAATGTCTGGTGTTGCTGACAGCCTTTGATGGAACAATCGATATTTCTTTCTTAAGCACAAAAGTATTGCAGGTCTTTTTTGCTGACTACCCAGAAAGACAGATGAGCATTCTTAGCCTCCAGTGATAAAGCAACAGAAGAAAAGAAGTGGGACATCTACAAAAGACATGACAATGGAAACAACTTTTACGCGGCGAAAGTACTTCCAGTGTTTCTAATATTTCTTGCAGTAATGTTAACGATGGAACTTCGACTACTCCAAAATAATATTTCGAACTGTAAGATAGGATAAATCTTGGTCATCCTTCTGTTATGGCTCTTTAAAGGTCAGACGACGATAAAAGAACAAATACAATACGCTGAATTACTGATGGATCCTACATGGAAGAACTGATGCTCGACATTGTTAACAAGCGCGGGTAAAATGTTCGGCATTTCGTGCCTTCGCATTGCAATAGCTCAGGCAAAACTGCATCTTAACAAACAAATACATAGTCAAAAAGATTGCCGGGAAGAGCTGAAAAAAAATGAGAGAGCTGTTGAGACTTAAAACAGTATGCTTTCGATAGCATCCACGAGCATCGTATAAGAACTAACAGACGGACCTAAAGAACTACACGGCTTTCAGAAGAGTGAGATCTCGCTAAACAACTGTTTTCTGAATATGTTCAGCATACTTTATTTATAAAACCAGCGTAACAGTCAGTAGGCACAATAAAACAGCAGTATATAATGAGATTTTAAAACAAGGAGTCAAAAATTAAGAAGGAGCGGTAAGGAGATCTGCTTATGTTTATCCCACGATCACCGCTAAAGCAAAACCAGCCGTAAGTCCTCCAGTGAAGTACATATTGTCTGCCAAAAAGTCATTGACCTTTAAAAGCCAACTTTACAATAACAGCTGGACATTTGTCACGTTCAATACCTTCTGCCAAACGGACTTCATTTCCGCAGATCCGAGCTTCCTGCGAACAGTGTGAATAATTCGCGCAGACTTCGTTTGCCATCTGCTGCGGTTCATTGTTAAGAAGCCGGCACCCACGGCAACCTCAAATCGTAAAATTACGACATACAATAAATTACAAGAAATTCACATGAAAGGTGATGGTATATAGCCGAAAATTATGGAAAAGCCATGGATAGTGAGCGGATGGATCAAAACACGCAATGTATAAGGGCATCAGAGCATGGATCGGCAAGTTAGAACCACGCAAAATACAATGTATTATTCTCAATCATATACCAGACTTAAAGTACTTTATGAAGACTTAAAAATGAGTTTATAACTTGACGTATGGGGGACTGACTAAATTACCAGTATCTTGAAGCAGGGTTGCATAAGATACTTCCCTTATAAATCTGAACGGAGCAGTAACCGCTTGTGTTCAACCGTACTTAATCGATATTCCAAAGAAATATACCCATTTCAATATGACGGGAACTTTATAATACAGAAGACGGATGAATTACATGCGCGTCGACGTATGTACTGTCCTCGTCTGTACAATATTGGGAAAATTGTCAGGAAACCATAAAAAGAAACAAGTTATGGAGTTAACATCATGACGGAAGCACTAACTTTCAAAATACCCCTGTGATAAATAAGCAAACATGATAACGAAAGGAGACATTCGTGTCTTTAAATGAGCATTTGGAAAACAAGTTTCCGTCCTGCAAACCGAGAAGGGCCAGGATTCCAGTCCGTACTATCTCGGCATCACTGAGAAGCGAAAGATACAAATCTGAGCAACGACCAATTGGAACCCGTGTCGCGAAAGTCTTGAAGATGTTGATGCAATGGTTAGAACTTAGACCAGGAAAGTAAAACGAAAAAGCTCTAACCGTTGGATGTCGGTTATCCTTATACACTTTCGTAATGAGGCCATTTTTTTGACCTTCTTTTCATTAGGTTCGCAGGGGGCGCTGAGGTCCATCTACGTGCCATTAGCAAGAGTGCCTTACTTTCTATGAGTCGAGTCAACAGCAGCTATGCAGCATACGTAGTGTAGTCTCCTCTTTTCTTCAAACAAAGTGGTACTCAGTTTTCGATCTCAGAGGCAAGAAAGAATTTTTCTGACAAGGGTAGAACCTATGGTTGATCATACTAATGGACCGAACGCATGCGTAATTATGTTTCCATTCGTAGATGATAGCCTATGTTCATCTGATTGAAACTTCAGATGAAAAATGTAGTAAAAAATGACTAAGCTCGTTGTTTTTCGATCTGCTAACGAGCACAGAATCAAAACAAGCATCAGCTTTCAGTAACCTAGCGAACAGTGCTACTATGAAATAAATGGATAAATTCTATAATTCATTCATAAATTGAGGTCAATGCCACAAATAAAATGCATACCCTGAGGCAAAGGGGTGCGGCTGCCGGTTATCTGTTGGTTTGCCTCCCTTTCACACTATGCATCAGCGTATATTTACACGCTCTATCCGAATTACCACAACTTCATTTACAGGTTACGCATCAGCAACGATATAAAAAAGGTACTATCAAACAAGTAGTTGTTCACCGCAATATCATTCTATAAATAAACAGCAATGCATGGCGTCCTTTGTATATTAAGAGCGCTAGCAAAATTTTTAATTCGATTTGAACGAACCATATGTTCATACAGGACTGCAGATATCGATCATATCGGCATATTGGTTAATGCTTTGAACATCAAACAGGTTAAATATCCCCAATGACATTCTACTATGCTAACTAGCTTATAATTACCACAACGTGCTGTAGCAATCAAGGCAATTATGCAAGTCTCCAAAATAAAATGTAAATAAATTTTAATTAAATTGAGGACAACATAAGGAACCGGAAAAATCACGAAAATTAAAAGTAACTGGCAGTGAACAATGGAAGGTGTCAAAGTCAGGTGGTTTTCTTTTCTTCTTTCAAAGCCCGTCTGGCCATCACCTTGAAGAAGTAGTGAGGAAGCAGATAGCGCATGTACATGGCAACCTTAGCGATAGCCGGTGCTACGATCAATTCCTCTTTGTCATCTAAGAAGGCATCGATGACTCTACTGGCCACAACGTCCGGGTCGGCGCCGTGCTCTTCACCGCTGTCCACTTTGTTATACTTACCGCCGTCGCCAGTCAGCGCATTTGCCGACAGATTGGTCTTTATATAGCCGGGGGACACGAACAATACATGGATATTATCGGTGGTCATCTCGGCTCGAAAGCAGTCAAAGTAGGCCTGAAAGGCGTGCTTAGAAGCGGCGTACGCGCTACGGTGAGGAATAGAGAACAAGCCTTGGACACTACCAATGCATATGAACCGTCCCCGGATATCTCGGCTGTCACTGCTCGGTCGGCGGCCGACCATATGTTCGGTCATAGCCTGGGTTAGCGCCACGTGACCGAAGTAGTTCACTTCCATCATGTAGCGGTGCACATCCAGCGTTGTATCCAAACAGTTGGCCCGGACCGAGACGCCGGCGTTATTCACCACAACATCGACGTTCTCATTCTCAGCGAGGATTTTTCGACAGGTATCTAATACTGAGTCTGGTCTGCTCAAGTCCAGGTAATAGCACAACGGCTCAGGTGACTTAGAGTGATCATCGGTCGACACCGCCGTTGCGGACATCAATTCATCCCTCAGCTTTTGTAACTTGTCTACGTTTCTGGCTGCAAGTAGCACCTTGCAGCCAAGACCATAGAAGCGACAAGCCAGCGCCATGCCCAGCCCTGAACTGGCGCCAGTGATAAGTACGGTTTTGCCGCGCAGGGCTTGGCGACCCCTTCGCCTTGCTCTGCGACGCAGCACCACTGCCAGCGTCGTATACGACATCCACGCGCACAGCACAAACGTCAGAACTCCCAACGACAGCATGAAGTCTATAGCCGCAAATACCAACTGATACCTGAAATTACAAACATGTCGATCACCGATACTATGTAATGCGCACGAAACGGTCACGGTCGCCATGCGCTGCCCCCATCGCCGACTTATTCCACAAAACTTACTCATCCGTCCCGTATAACTAGCTGTACCAATAACATTACCAGTACTGCAGACATCGCTAGTACGACTGATCATACTAACGACCAAAGTATCATAACTGAAAACGGTACTAGTACAGCTAGCAGTAATCCTACCTCCATCATCACAAACACTATCAGTAATTACTACTGTACTAATAGAATAATTAATATTCGTATAGCCAGTTCAACAACTGACAGTATTACTACAACGGCCGCTGTTAATGAGACAAGTATCATCGGCAGTAGTCGCATAAGCAACATTATAAATACAACGACGGGTAATAATTTTTATATCAGTCGTAGTACCAACAGTGACAGTATCAGCCGTAGTAGTAGTAAAACTAGAACTATGCACAGCCGCCGTACAAGTAATGCTATTAATGTTAGCAGTACTATGGCTAATAGTACCTTTGATATCAGCCGTAAAACTAACAGTATTAGTAGTAAAACTACAACTGCGCTTATTAGTAATAAAAGCAGTAGTACAGATACTAACAGTACTGCAACTGACAGTATTTCTTGTATCAGAAATATCGAATATATTTCCTACTGAAATATTTGTGGTTCAGGTAAAGTCCCTCTGGCACATTAACGTGGAAAACCCTGCAAATAAAAAGCCTGCATCTCGCGGATGGGACAAAAATTAAGTACTTATGCCTAGAAACAAGTCTCATGAATTAATGAGACTGTACAAATACCTCTGTATCGGCTCATGGAATGAAATAAATGACGATAAAAAATCAGAAGTGCCACACGTTAATGCTGAAGACACAGCTCTTTCCCTTAAGTAAGATCAAAGCTGTCTATAACTTAGCAATGACAATATCAGGGTATACTTTCGTTACCGTAAAATGAACCCACACATTTGTACCTCTTTCGATAACGTCGACTGAAAGCCCAAAACAACATTATATGCATGCATCAACCGATATCATCTTCTTTAGCCGGTTATATCTTTCAAAAAAGCAAAGCAGACGTGATTCGTTAAATGTAGCTGATATCCTTTGGCTTTAAACGTCACAACAACTACGGACAGTATTGAAGAAAGTCAGTACAAAACGAGTCAAAAGTCTTCACTGGTCAATGACTCGACTGAGCAACTTATTCGCTCGTGTTATGTATAAATAAATAATTGTAATACAATTTCAGTTTTCAGAATGGTCACTGACGTAGGAACAAAATACTCAATTTCTAGATAGTTCGACCACTCTATACTTTATACTCATGGATCTTAACGTTAATGACAACCGTGCAGATATTCTAATGCTTGACTGAAAGAAAATTACAGTTGAAATTACTGATACTGCTATTTCACTGGAAAAGAAGGTATAAAAAATAGGTAAAAAAATTGACAAAAATAAGAAAATCTGGGCATCAGTCTGAAGCAAATTTTTCAGTTGAAGAGTCTGAGCAACATCAGTCGCCATTTCTGCAAATAGCATCATTAGAATCAATGAGGAGCAACTGCATCCAAATTAACACAGCCGAAATGCTACATTTTCGAATAATAATTAACATAGACAAAAATGTGTTATTTTCAATGCCGTCAGGAGAGTGTAAAAAAATTTGGATTTTCGATTGCTAGCAGGTGGAAAAAAGTTGGAACGTTCAACCCACGGCTAGAGC